AGCTATGCCCCTAAGAAACTGGATAGCTCCTAATATATTTAATATAATTAATCCTCCAAGTAATACCACTTTTTTTCAGAAATGAAAGGTTTCTTTCCTTGTAGGAAATTTGTGATTTGCTAATGTAGCAAATTAACAAAGAAAACTAATTGTTTTAGTTCTACAGTGAAGGGTAGAACATACAATATTGATGATTTTATTACTAGTAAACACGTTGTTTATTTGCTACAATGCCCATGTAAGATGCAATATGTTGGACGTACCACTAAGCGATTAAGAGATAGGTTAAGAGTGCAGGTAAACAATATCAAAAAAGGTTATAAAGAGCACTCCCTATCTCATCACTACAGGGTCTGCCATAACAGAGATCCGTCTTCGCTTAATTTTATGGGCATAGGCATCTTTAAAACACACTGGAGGGGATTAAATAAGAAAAGAGCAGTTTCACACATCAGAATCAAAATGGATCTTTGAGTTGGGCTCCTTACATCCTAAGGGGCTCAACAATGATTTTGATATCAACTGCTTTATAGATAGTTAGATTGCTTTATATATTTTTACTACCATATGTCCTTTTAGCGTTTTAGTGACTAAATTTATAGTGACTCCATTTTATACACTGACTCCTTTTACGTTTTTTTATGATATTCTTATGATATTTTTATAATTTTTGATAGTTTTGATTCCAACCATCATTGGTATTTAACTGGAACATATAAATAATTTTTGTCATCGCTTTTATTGTACTTTTTAATATTTTTTATATTTAATTTTCTTATTTATATGTTTATTTTTGATAATATTTTAATTCCATTTATATATTTGTCTTTTTTATTTATTTCTTGATTTTTATTTTATTTTTATATATGTAACATATGCTGGTATTTTAATTACGGCTGACCATGTGAACTTTCCTACTGTTTTTTATTTGGATATTTATGAACATTTTAATAATTGTATGTATTTTCATGAATGTCTTTATTACTGTGTTTACCAGTTGATTTATTTTACATGACATCCTCACCCTGATGTCTTTACTGGATATATCCTATTATAATGTTTTTAACAACTTAATACACACATAATATCACAGGATCAAATTATAACGATCTGATTGTGTATGTGTCTGCTGCATGATTTGCGGTATTTAAAATATTAAGTGGGTGCATTCTCAAAGCATTTTTCTCTACCCCTCAATGTTAGCAGTTTGATAAGGATATCTATCCTATCTATCCTGACGTTTGATCTTACATTTGAAGCTATCTCCTCTTATCTGGTAAACAGAGCAATCTTCTGGAGTTTAAAACTGCCAACAAAATGGCGCCGTAGCACGCACCTTCCATGGACATAGAGATATGCAATGTAATCTTTTGATCCATGACAAAATGGCGCCGACACACTGCACATGCGGCGAGTAGCCGGCAAAATGGCGGGCGCAATATGCGCAACCGCCATTTTTCAATATAAATACACCTGTATAGACGTCTGATGCTGTAAGCCTGTACCCTATGATTAAGTGCTTAGCACGAAACGCGTCAGTTAGGGGCTACAGCATCTAGACGTCACGCCACCGCTGGTGGCCATCCTGAAACTATATGGTCAGTGTTTTCCTTTTATTACTACCTTGTTTTGTGGAAATAAAATTCCATTGAAAAACAGTATCACGCTATGTGGCATCCTTTGTTGGGCTCTCTCTGTGAGTGCCATCATTCACAGAGCCTATTATAGAGGTGACTCGACGCAGTGATACCTGTCAAGGGACCCTGAAGGGAACAGGAACCTGGCCTGATTTTGGAGCAGATGACCTGAACATACCTGATGAGGCAGTATTAACCTCAAATGCGTGTTTATAGCGCGCTTCTGGTGAGTGCACCCTTCACTTATTACTCAGTCACATCATCTGTCACTCCTGGATAAGAATATTTGAGCACTTTAGTTGTGATCTGACGAGATCCTCACGTTCAATTTTTTGGACTGTTTTATCACTACAACCACTTTCATGTGGATATAATTATCTTGAACTTTATATTTATTGTATTTTAATGCGTACATTTATAATATTTATGCCGTTATTTGGAGACATACCAGTTTTATGATTGATTGAAGTATTTAGCTATTCCATAATATATTTTATATCAGCGCTGCACCTGTTTACATTGACATTTATATTGGGAGGTTTATGGTTGCCTTTTGGTGTCCCAGCAGCTGTTGTGTTTGTAGCGCTCGCTGAAACTTCTTTTATAACATTGATCTGTACCTGTCTCCCAGTTGTGCTCATCTTATGTTGGCTTCCAATGGAGACTACAAGTGGCCATTTCAACATTATGCAGGCATGGTCCACATTTGTCTTCAACAGAAAACCTGTCCTAGGAAATGCCATGTAGTTGTTGCTGGAGTGCATGTAGGTAGCAAGTAACTGCAAACAGGCTGCACGACACCCAGAGGCGTAGCTGGGGGGTACATACAGTGAGGAACAGATGTATTTGAACACCCTGCAATTTTGCAAGTTCTCCCACTTAGAAATCATGGAGGGGTCTGAAATTCATATTGTAGGTGCATTCCCACTCTGAGAGACAGAATTAAAAAAAAATTCAGGAAATCACATTGTACGATTTTTAAAGAATTTATTTGTCTTGCACTGCTGAACATAAGTATTTGAACACCTAAGAAACAGCAAGAATTCTGGCTCTCAAAGACCTGTTACTGTGCCTTTAAAAAGTCCACCTCTACTCCACTCAGTAAATCTAACTTAGTAGCACCTGTCTGAGCTCTTTAAAGACACCTGTCCACCCCGCAGTCAGTCAGACGCCAACTACTGCCATTGGCAAGACCAAAGAGCTGTCAACAGACACCAGAAACAAAATTGTGGACCTCCACAAGGCTGGAAAGGGCTACGGGGCAATTGCCAAGCAGCTTGGTGAAAATAGATCAACTGTTGGAGCAATTGTTAGAAAATGGAAGAGGCTAAAGACGACTGTCAGTCTCCCTCGGATTGGGACTCCATGCAAGATATCACCTCGTGGGGTATCACTGATGATAAGAAAGGTGAGGAATCAGCCCAGAACTACAAGGGAGGAGATGGTCAATGACATGAAGAGAGCTGGGACCACAGTTTCAAAGGTCACTGTCGGTAGAACACTACGCCGTCATGGTTTCAAATCATGCATTGCACGGAAGGTTCCCCTGCTCAAGTCATCACATTCCCAGGCCCATCTGAAGTTTCCCAATGACCATCTGGATGATCCAGAGGAGGCATGGGAGAAAGTCATATGGTCAGATGAGACCAAAGTAGAACTTTTTGGTCCAAACTTCACTCGTCGTGTTTGGAGGAAAAAGAAGGATGAGTTGCATCCCAAGAATACCATCCCTACTGTGAAACATGGGGGTGGTAACATCATGCTTTGGGGGTGCTTTTCTGTGAAGGGGACAGGACGACTGCACTCTATTAAGGAGAGGATGAATGGGGCCATTTATTGTGAGATTTTGAGCAACAACCTCCTTCCCTCAGTCAGAGCATTGAAGATGGGTCGTGGCTGGGTCTTCCAACATGACAACGGCTCGAAGCAAAAGCCAGGATAACCAAGGAGTGGCTCCGTAAAAAGCATATCAAGGTTCTGGAGTGGCCTAGCCAGTCTCCAGACCTAAATCCAATAGAACATCTTTGGAGGGAGCTGAAACTCCATGTTTCTCAGCGACAGCCCCGAAACCTGACAGATCTAGAGAAGATCTGTGTGGAGGAGTGGCCCAAAATCCCTGTTGCAGTGTGTGCAAACCTGGTCAAGAACTACAGGAAACATTTGACCTCTGTAATTGCAAACAAAGGCTTCTGTACCAAATATTAACACTGATTTTCTCAGGTGTTCAAATACTTATGTTCAGCAGTGCAAGACAAATAAATTCTTTAAAAATAATACAATGTGATTTCCTAAGTTTTATTTTTAAATTCTGTCTCTCAGAGTGGGAATGCACTTACAATGTGAATTTCAGATTTCTAAGTGGGAGAACATGCAAAATTGCAGGGTGTTCAAATATGTCTGTTCCTCACTGTATGTACCCGGGCGCCAAGGTACAGGGGCGCCAAAATGAGGTCTCAAGATCACTGCAGCTGCTGCAGCAGACATGTCATCTGATATGTCTGCCATCCACAGTGAGTTATGAGAGGAGCCATCCGGGAGAGAGGAGGGCAGTGAGCCGGGCATGTGCCGGAGGGGACGAGGGGAGAGCCAAGCCAGGTGATCGGGAGGGGGGGGTGTCTACCGGGACCATATGAGGTGGCCGTTCGTCCCCAGGCGCAAAATATCCTAGCTACGGCTCTGACGACACCAGCAGCATTGAGATGTATCTTAGGAGGAAAAAGGGTGAAAACATAAATAGCCATGGTTCATGATAGAATTGCTTTAGCAAACTAAACATCATTCACTTAGGGCTGGCATCCACTTTAAAATATCTCTAGCTTATGAATGGCACTAAGTGTAAAATTCTATAAGGCATCTATTTAGGAAAGCAGAATAACAGAGCCAATGCAGAAGAGTATACTTAAATAGTATATAGTTTATGTATGTAGCCTCCCTGGCGGTATTCCCGAGTGTAGCTCGAGGTAAAGTTTCAGTACCACAAGCGGTAACCCCGAGCTACACTTGGGCTTACCATGCGGCGCTGCTCTGCGATCCCTCGATCACTTACCTTGTCCTTCGCTCCTGCGATGTCCCTCCTGCAGTGTCCCCGGCAATGTAATCCGGCGGATGCCAGCATCTGTCATCTGGGTTCCGTTCCTTGCAAACGTCGGGATGTACGAGGGACGGAACAGTGGGAAATTTGAAAATGACAAAAAGTGACATTCACTAAAATCACTAAAATCACATAGTAAAACATCACTGTATCAAACCATTTCACATACATTTTGTCCCGAGTGCTTTGTCCTGTGCCCTGCCTGCATTTTTACTGTTCTTTCTGCCTGGAAACTGAGAAATGTCCATGGTGTCCAAAAAGCGTCCCTTTAGGTCAAAAGTGGTTTTAGACCAGCTAGAGAACAGCGATAGTAAATCAGAACCACTTGCAGAATTGAGTGATAATGATTCGTGGGGAAATTCGTCATCAGACACTGAAAACGATTTTGCGACTTTACTCACTGATGTGTGAACTTGGAGCTATATTTCAAATTTCAGTGTTTTTGGTTTGATTATGTTATTGAATTAAATGTATTATTATATTATTTTTTATGATTATTTATTAAATTATAATTTATGATTTTGTGTTTCAAGTTTTCTCCAACCCGGGATGTTTACTAGACTCTTGTTCGGACAGATTTCAGTGAGTTATTCCTAAAAATTAAAGGCCTACAATAAAAAAATACATATTTCCATGTAAAAACATTTACCACTTTGAGCATAGAAATATGGACATAATCAGACCACTAGGGAGGTTAAAGCAAAACTCCGGCCAAAAATAAGTAAACAAACCCGAATAGCTCAGTAAAGCATAAAACAAAATCAGCTTTTGTGAAATTATCACTTTCAAATCAGGGATTTCCCCTGCAATACGTTTTTCTGCCAATAGAAAATAGATCAGTCTGATGACCTGCATCATTCAACCTCCATCCTCTGAGCTCAGATTGTCCAGCCTGTGACTGGACAGTAAAAGGAGAAGCAGCACCGTGATGAGCTCATATCTCTGTCACTCTGCTCTCCTCTCCTACTTCTACTCAGTACTTGGACTGATTGGCTCCTTGTACTAGTAATTCCTCTCACACTCCAGCCCTGCTGAACAGGGACTGCAATAGGCTGATACCAAGTGAAATTCAGGTACCTTTACTGCCAGCTTTTAACCACTTCCCATCCGGCCCATGTACATAAATGGCTGGAAGGGAGCAGTGCAGGAGCAGGTGGCCGTTTATAAACGGCCTCCACATTCACTGCCTGCGCGCTGTCCCTGGGAGCACGTGGCACCACGATCCGGTGCCCGCTGGAACACCAATCACTGTACGGGACCTCTGTGTGATCAGTGATCACAGGAACAGTAAGAAACAAGATGTCACTTCCTGACATCATTGCTTACTATGTGTGAAATCTGTGAATGATCACAGAGGTCACATGGTACAAGGCTATTCACGACAGCCTTGTACCATGTGACAAGCTGTGACCAATCACAGCTCTCACAGTATTTCTCAATAGATGGATAGATGAATACATTTTGGCCAAGATTTATAAAGATTATTTATTTGCAAAATTTTATAAGAAAAACACTTTTTTTTTTCAAAATGTTTGGACTTTTTCATTTATATAGCAAAAAAATTAAAATCCCAGTGGTGAATAAATACCACCAAAATAAAGTTTCATCTGTCTCAAAAAAATGCTAAAATATTCATATGGGTACAGTGTTGCATGACCGCGCAATTGTCATTGTGATAGCACTGAAAGCTGAAAATTGGCCTGGACAGGAAGGGGGTGAAAGTGTCCAGACTTGAAGTGGTAAAAAATACATTTAATGATGATTGATCAAAGAACTGCTTTAAATTGTGTTTTTTTTACATCTAATTGAAGTAAAGCTTTAATGCAAAAATGATTACGCACCTAAGCAGTAGTTATATATGAACTGAATGTTTTGATTAGAAAATTATCATTATGTAAGATAGCGAACACCATTCAAATATCTCATAAAGTTCAGTGAATTGGCCCCTATTTGTGCTATTCTTTGAGATCACTTTCTATGTGTATTCTTATAACACAACTGTCTGACCCTGATACACATTCTTTGGTTTACCTATGTTCACCCACAATGCATCTCTCTTTTCTCCCTGGATCTGTCTGCCCTTCCATGCTCAGCAATTAACCCCATTTATATTTTGCCACGACCTTTTCCATAATAATCGCATTAACCTATTTACTGATCACTGGCAATCTTTGCCAAGACAGAGGGTTATTAATATGTCACTCGCATTTTCTGCTTGACATGTTTCGGTCATCCCAGTTGTAAAAAAAGAAAAAATATTGCAGATCCTAAAGATGCAAGCCTAAAATAATGTCTGCATCATTACTAACCATATGCTTTGGTTTGCATGCCATCTAAAAGGTTCTGTCCACCCAAATACAGTTTCACTTTTTTCCAGAAAACAGCCTATGAAGTCAAGGGGCCCCATTATGTATTAAAAAAAAAAAACTGCAGCTTTGTAAAATGTTCACAAAATTTTTGTTGTCATACCTGAAGGTTATTTGCATCCTCCCTCCAACATGAAACCTTTGCGTGCTCACTCCCAGCACGTTGGGTTTAGCACCCGTAATGTTGGGAGTGAGTGTTGTGATATGGGTGATGATGTTTAGCTCTCGTGGTAGACGCATTTGTCAAGTGTGTCCATGTTATACAGGAATTATAGTTAAGGGCTCAGCAGTTAAGGCTCCATTCACCCTAGGGCGTTTCAAATCGCGGGCGGAATCGCCGGGATTCTGCCCGTCATTTGAAATCATGCTGTGAAAATGTGAAAACATGTGTTTGCGTGTTCAGGTGTCATTCATTTCAAAGGGCATTTTTGTTGCGAATGTGGAGCATTTTTCTGCACAACAATAGCACCACAATTGCACAGACAAATCGCGGGACACCCATTTTTGGGGTTCACGCATTCCGCTTCCAGTTTGAAAGAAAAATGTGCCATATCCGTGGCAAAAACACCCTGATTTGTCAGGTGCCATTGAAATAAATGGCACCCAAACATGAGATTGTGTGTTTTCACATTGCATTTTCAATTCGCAAGCAGAATAGCGGTGATTCCACCCGCTATTTGAAACGCCATAGTGTGAATGGAGCATAAATGAGAAGTAAAGTAAAAAGTTCAATACAAACAGATTGTCCACACAGAGGTTCATCTCCAGCCAGGGGTGGACTGACCATTTGGAAACTCGGGTACTGCCGAGGGCCCGGGGTCAGTAGGGGGCCCCATGAGATGCCCCTGATACCGTTTTCATAGGCTTTTTTGAGTTTTGGCAAGGACACAGGGGCCCCATGATCCCCTATTGCCTGGGGGGCCCATGAGTTGTCAGTCCGCCCCTGTCTCCAGCTAATACAAATAACAAAAATGTCAAGCCACCTGGCTCTCCAGTCAGCAGTACTTTTGCCTGCTCCATTTTCCCAGACCATGGCCTCCCCTGGCTCACTCAGCCTATGCTTGCAGCCACTCACTGCACCGGTCCCAAATTTGGACTCTGGATAGGGTTTTAGCAGCGCCCCGAGCTCTCCCACTGCTCAGGAACAAAGGACTCGATCATCACCTCAGCTTTCTCAGTCCCTCCGGATCCACATAGCTGTCCTGATTTTTCCAGTCCTATGGACAAGAAGTCTCCCATACACATGATCTTGTCTCCCAAGCAGGTCACCCCTCCTGGCTGGAGCACACCACTACCTACACACGGAGACACTGTCTCTAAATGGCAACAACTGCCCTGAGCTACTCTCAGACCTTGCTTATAAGGACCCGCATACCTGTGCACTCACACAGGTTGAAGGTGTCTAGCAAAATCCGGAAACAGCATTGAAGGTTCCTTCCCATCCAAGAGTCTTTGGAACCTTTAAACACCAGGCCCTGATCCAGGATTACAAAACCCAAAGAAAGCTTAAAGCCCAGCCTTCTCCACTCACAATACACATCATGGAGCTTTGCATTACGCCATATTATGAATTCTGTATCATTTTTACCTGAATTCACATAATGGCAGGGCCTCACACTGTCACAGCATCCAGAGGCATTCACATCCTTGCAACAAAGCAGATGTGGGGATTTCCATTCAGGATTCCAAGGGGGCCCAACTGGCCTACAGGTATGACAATAAAATGAATGAACATTTTACAGTTTCTCAATATCTACCCCTTGACTGCATAGGTTATTTTCTGAAAGAGGTGAACTTAGCCTCTAAGACGGCAGGTTAAACCTTCAACTACCTTAAAGTGGAACTAAACCCACTAATTTAATGGTTTCCTAAAACAGTCACATTCAAGGAATGCCTCTGATGATAACTGTCACAACTTCTAGTTGTTTACATCAACTCTCAACTGAACTTTCAAATCCTCAAATGGCTGTTCTCATAGCTGCTCACATGTGCAGCTCCATGGCAACTGCAGTGAAGCTAAGATGGAACCATCTTCAGCTGTAAAGATTAACCACTTCCATACTGGGCACTTTTACCCCCTTCCTGCCCAGGCCAATTTTCAGGTCCCAGCGCTGTCACACTTTGAATGACAAATTGCATGATCATACAACATTGTACCCAAACTAAAATTTTATCATTTTCTTCACACAACTAGAACTTTCTTTTGGTGGTATTTAACCACTTGAGCCCCAGAGGATTTACCCCCCTTAATGACCAGGCCTTTTTTTGCTGTTTGGCGCTGCACTAATTCAAATGATAATTGCGCGGTCATGCAATGCTGTACCCAAACAAAATTTACGTCCTTTTTTTCACACAAATAGAGCTTTCTTTTGGTGGTATTTGATCACCTGTGCGCTTTTTATTTTTTTGCGCTATAAACAAAAAAACCACGAAAATTTTGAAAAAAAAAACAATATTTTCTACTTTCAGCTATAAAAAATATATCGTAAACTCAAAGTTAGTCATAAATTTAAGCCAAAATGTATTCTGCTACATGTTTTTGGTAAAAAAAATCCCAATAAGTGTATATTGATTGCTTTGTGTGAAAGTTATAGCGTCTACAAACTATCGTATAGATGCTGTAATTTATGCCTTTTTTTGCTATACAGCGCTGCACTAATTCAAATGATAATTGCACGGTCATGCAATGCTGTACCCAAACGAAATTTACGTCCTTTTTTTCACACAAATAGAGCTTTCTTTTGGTGGTATTTGATCACCTGTGCGCTTTTCATTTTTTTTGCGCTATAAACAAAAAAACCACAAAAATTTTGAAAAAAAAAACAATATTTTCTACTTTCAGCTATAAAAAATATATCGTAAACTCAAAGTTAGTCATAAATTTAAGCCAAAATGTATTCTGCTACATGTTTTTGGTAAAAAAAATCCCAATAAGTGTATATTGATTGCTTTGTGTGAAAGTTATAGTGTCTACAAACTATGGTATAGATACTGTAATTTATGCCTTTTTTTGCTATACAGCGCTGCACTAACTCAAATGATAATTGCGCGGTCATGCAATGCTGCACCCAAACGAAAATGACGTCCTTTTTTTCACACAAATAGAGCTTTCTTTTGGTGGTATTTGATCACCTGTGCGCTTTTTATTTTTTGCGCTATAAACAAAAAAAAAACAAAAATTTTTGAAAAAAAAAAACAATATTTTCTACTTTCAGCTATAAAAAATATATCGTAAACTCAAAGTTAGTCATAAATTTAAGCCAAAACGTATTCTGCTACATGTTTTTGGTAAAAAAAATCCCGTGCATTAGCGGGCAAACTGGCGCTATCTAGGAGGGGCGCTAACACTATCGGAAGTCACCATGACACTAATACAGTGATCAGTAAAAATCTGTTCACTGTAATCAATGACACTGGTGACAGGGCAGTGAAGGGGTTAACTGGGGGGGGGGCAATCAAGGGGTTAAATGGGATTTCTGGTGCACTAGCGGGCAAACTGGCGCTATCTGGGAGGGGCGCTAACACTATCGGAAGTCGCCAGCGACACTGATACAGTGATCAGTAAAAATTGGTTCACTGATCAGTGACACTGGTGACAGGGCAGTGAAGGGGTTACTGGAGGGGGGGGGGGGGGCGATCAAGGGGTTAAACGGGATTACTGGTGTACTGGCGGGTAATCTGGCGCTATCTGGGAGGGGCGCTAACACTATCGGAAGTCGCCAGCGACACTGATACAGTGATCAGTAAAAATCAGTTCACTGATCAGTGACACTGGTGACAGGGCAGTGAAGGGGTTAACTGGGGGGGGGGGAGATTAAGGGGTTAAATGGGATTACTGGTGTGTACTAGCGGGCAATCTGGCGCTATCTGGGAGGGGCGCTAACTCTATCGGAAGTCGCCAGCGACACTGATGCAGTGATCAGTAAAAATTGGTTCACTGATCAGTGACACTGGTGACAGGGCAGTGAAGGGGTTAACTGGGGGGGCGATCAAGGGGTTAAACGGGATTACTGGTGTACTGGCGGGCAAACTGGCGCTATCTGGGAGGGGCGCTAACTCTATCGGAAGTCGCCAGCGACACTGATACAGTGATCAATAAAAATTGGTTCACTGATCAGTGACACTGGTGACAGGGCAGTGAAGGGGTTAACTGGGGGGGCGATCAAGGGGTTAAACGGGATTACTGGTGTACTGGCGGGCAGTCTGGCGCTATCTGGGAGGGGCGCTAACACTATCGGAAGTCGCCAGCGACACTGATACAGTGATCAGTAAAAATTGGTTCACTGATCAGTGACACTGGTGACAGGGCAGTGAAGGGGTAACTGGGGGGGGGGGGGTGATCAAGGGGTTAAACGGGATTACTGGTGTACTGGCGGGCAAACTGGCGCTATCTGGGAGGGGCGCTAACACTATCGGAAGTCGCCAGCGACACTGATACAGTGATCAGTAAAAATTGGTTTCACTGATCAGTGACACTGGTGACAGGGCAGTGAAGGGGTTAACCGGGGGGGGGGGGGGCGATCAAGGGGTTAAACGGGATTACTGGTGTACTGGCGGGCAATCTGGCGCTATCTGGGAGGGGCGCTAACTCTATCGGAAGTCGCCAGCGACACTGATACAGTGATCAGTAAAAATTGGTTCACTGATCAGTGACACTGGGTGACAGGGCAGTGAAGGGGTTTAACTGGAGGGGGGGGGCGATCAAGGGGTTAAACGGGATTACTGGTGTACTGGCGGGCAAACTGGCGCTATCTGGGAGGGGCGCTAACTCTATCGGAAGTCGCCAGCGACACTGATACAGTGATCAGTAAAAATTGGTTCACTGATCAGTGACACTGGGTGACAGGCAGTGAAGGGGTTAACTGGAGGGGGGGGGGGGGCGATCAAGGGGTTAAACGGGATTACTGGTGTACTGCTGGGCAATCTGGCGCTATCTGGGAGGGGCGCTAACTCTATCGGAAGTCGCCAGCGACACTGATACAGTGATCAGTAAAAATTGGTTCACTGATCAGTGACACTGGGTGACAGGGCAGTGAAGGGGTTAACTGGAGGGGGGGGGGGCGATCAAGGGGTTAAACGGGATTACTCGTGTACTGGCGGGCAAACTGGCGCTATCTGGGAGGGGCGCTAACTCTATCGGAAGTCGCCAGCGACACTGATACAGTGATCAGTAAAAATTGGTTCACTGATCAGTGACACTGGGTGACAGGGCAGTGAAGGGGTTAACTGGAGGGGGGGGTGGCGATCAAGGGTTAAACGGGATTACTGGTGTACTGGCGGGCAATCTGGCGCTATCTGGGAGGGGCGCTAACTCTATCGGAAGTCGCCAGCGACACTGATCAGTAAAAATTGCTTCACTGATCAGTGACACTGGTGACAGGGCAGTGAAGGGTTAACTGGAGGGGGGGGGGGGCGATCAGGGGGTTAAATGTGTCCTAGAGTGTTCTAACTGTAGTGTAGTGCTTGTGTACTCACTTTTTGATGTCTTCTTCTCTGTCTGGAACGGAATGTGTCCAGGCAGAGAAGAATGACATCATATCCTGCCCTGTGTGTATGTCAACACAGGACAGGATAGGACAGGGACCGATCATGTGATTTCAGCCAGAAATCACTGGCTGAAATCTAATGATTGATCCTGGATCCTCTCCTGGATCAAATAGTGTCACCCGCGGGTCGGCGGGAATGCGCGCGCGCGCCCCCTGCAGCGAAAGTGTCGGGAGCGCGGAACCCGTTTTTAAACGTGGTTTTGCGCTCCACTGCCGCCCTGCACACGTATATACACAGTGGCAGGGCGGCAAGCGGTTAATCACCATTGGGGTTTTTTTTTTTTTGCGAAGTTAACAAAAAAAGACCGAAAATTTTGAACACAAAAACACGTTTTTCTTTGTTTCTGTTATAAAAGTTTGCAAATAAATAATTGTTCTT